AATAAGGGGTTGTTTTAATGTTCTGGATTAAGTTTGTAAAAACTGCTTCCATAGCTGATGCCTGACAAAGAACCTGACAAGGATCAGGCTTCTGCCGGTACTGAAACATGGACCCAGAGTAATTCCAGTCCACTAGGAAATTAATGTGGATTTTAGGATGCTGAAAAATAATGTGTGACTGTTAGTCAACTCTGAATGCCAAATGCCTATCTTAGACAGTGTAGCTCTGCATTCCTGTGGATAAAAGTCCTCTCCTTTTTTACCTTAATTTGCTCTATCAATAGAAAGCCCCTATTTCAAGCATAAATGCCATTACTTAATAGGTATGATCAAATCTGTTTCTGTTCCAGAAATATTCTAAACTTTCCACATTCTCATCAATGGGAATGGCCTCATGTATGCCCAAATTTCTAACCCACTGTAGTATGTGGAGGTGAATCCGAAAATATGACTGTGAAAGAGGATATTCTTTCAATAGAGAACAATAGCACTGGAGACTAGACTGATGTTAGAACCTTCTTAAAAACTGCACTTGTCACTAACTTTTGTACTGAGAGCCAGGTATTTCAACAGAGCCCTCAAATCTGGGAGCTGATGCTGCTCAGCAGCTTACTGGAGATAAGTACAAAGCTTCAGAACCAAACCCCTGTTTTTGGAGAATGATCCTCTCACAGCAGCAAATGCTTAGCTGTAGGTTTGAATCTATTTCATTATAAATCATTTAAAATATTTAGAAAGAGTTGGTCTTTTGTTTTCTGTGAATACCAATAGTAAGGTCATTTCTTATCTGTGCATTGTAATTATGGAAAATGTGAAAAAAGCATCCCCTTTTCCTCTAACTTCCATTCAGCACTTTCACCATCACCTTTTTAGCTGTGCTGTGGTTTATATCCAATAGGTACAATTGCTATAGAATACAAACCAGCAGGTAAAGCATTTTAGCATTTATCCGTCTGTTATAAAAAAGACCTGATTTTCTCACATGTAATTTACAGTCTGTGTCTCCCGTTGAAAGAACTGTGCATGGATGTAAAATAGCAAAGTATAACGCTAACCAATTGAACTGATTTATTATAATCCAGTAAAATTAAAGCAGTTTGGCACAAATGAAATTTACTGCTGCAGTGTTTCTGTAGGGAAACAGATTCAGGTGTTACAGAAATGCAGGAAACACAAAGAAATTGGAGACTGTGTTGACAACAAAACAAATCATTAAGTAGAAGTGAGCCCTTGCTATATCTGGGTCTTGCTCCCTTACCTAATGACTGCAAAGATCAGGGCTTAATTTATAGTTGGGTAGGTAGGTATTGAGTGTGTGGTATAGATTCCCTACTGTGTCTTACATAGATTTAACAGAGCTCGTCATAAATCATATGGATTAAAAAATTCCTCCATTCTGAAATTATCCCAAACCACAAACAGTTTCTGTTGCTGCACCTGAGTTTTAGAAGAGATGAGGCAGAAACTGTGCTCTCTCTCAGTCTGCTATGGCTCAAATTAAAAACTTCACAAAAATTAACACCATCTTTTCAAATGCTGTAGACTGCTTGCTTTCATTCTAAGAAAAGGCAGAAATAATAGCATCTGAATTGGTGCTGAGCTATTTTAAAAGTAGTGCTAAGGCACGGTTTTACAAAGTCTGTGTGTAAAGCCCACCAGACTTTAGCTTGTAAGGAACATTGACAAATTCGGCTTTTAAGAGACTGAACCTTTCACATTCAGAAACTCTACCAGACAGCTCCCTTGTTACACTATCAGACATTTTGCTCTGGAAAAGTGTTCAACTTTCAAGGCCTGATCTTGCACTTAACTGGAGGATGTTGCCAGTGGGATCGCCTTGCCTATGGCTCTGCCTCCATGCGTGGTATTGATCACCCCACTGAATCTTCAGAACCTGAACTATCATCTGATTAGTTTTCAAAATACTTTTTGCCAAAATAATTTCCTTTTCTTATGGCTTTCTATGGGGAAATACACCATTCCTGGGAGATTGTAGGGCTCCCTAAGTCAAACATGGCTGCAGCTACAAAATCTATGTTTCTTCTCATTAGAATGAAAATTCTGTATATTTCAAAAAGTTAAAAGTGAATGTCCTGAGGTTTATTCACGGGTCTGATACTCAGAAAATCAAGTTGCATTTCTTTGTCATTAAATCTTTTCATCTCATTACAACGAACAAAGCCAGCTTTTTCAGTCTCCACAACAAAGACAATACTTTTTCTTCCCCCTAACTACTATTTATCTGGTTTGCAAACTTCAGTTATAAACTTCTTGGGTCTGCTAATGAGTGCCTGACTGTTTGTACAGAGCCTGGGACAGTAAACTGATTGAGACTTCAGGAAGTCACCAGAGTTCAAACAACAGCAGCAATATTCTGCCATGAGTCAGCTGCTGAAAATGCTCCTTTAAGGGACTGGTTAATTAAAGATCTGCCATTACTGTGACTTTGTTCCATCACAACAACTGTTTAGTGCCAGCGTCATGGGTTACACGTAGCATGCACTTACTAAACTAAATGTGCTTTTGCCAAAGAGTTACAATTTTTGATACGTGCTTCTTCCATTTTATCTGTCCTTACCCGGAGCAGTTTCCCACTGATGTTTTTCTACTTCAGATAATCGCATAATCGCAGAGTAATTGTTGAGCTGCAATGGTAGGATTGGACACAAGAAGATAAAGAATTACTCTGTCCTAAAGTTGCACATGGTTAAGACCTCTTTTCAATATCATATCCTTCTCTCTTTCATGCCTTTCAAAGATATTTGACATTAAAAAGAAAGCCAAAAGAAGCAAAGATTAAGCCAGAGATAATTTCTATTTCAGAATAAAAAATCAAAAGTATTATTAGTAATATTTGAGATGTATCTAGACTAATTTAAGTCTTTAGCCAGTATATATGACGCTATGATTAAGTTCCACTATTTTCCAAAACATTACTAAAAATGCTTAAGGAATACAACTAAATAAATAGCATTTAAAAAAATAACCAAATATTTTGATGTGTTACCTTGGATTTGAGAGCAGTAACTTCCTTTGCCCATATCCTGTTGTGACTACAGAAGGATGTTTTCAAAAGACAAAAAAAAAAGATGACCTTTTGATGATTTTATTAACTTAGGGATCCATGACAATTAGAAATATGAGCACATAGGAAAAGTAATAAAGTTTACTCTGCTTCCATTTATTTCATAGCATTTTTATTCTAAGGTGGCAGAGAATCTGATACAAAAAAAAAAAAAAATAGCACTGCTCATAATCTTTCCAGCCTTTGTTTTCTCAGAACACTGCCTAATGCTCTCTGTTACCTGCATCCTTTTATCTTTAAGAAGGCCATTCCAGACAGGTGATTTTGTTAAAAACTAAGCTCCCAGTGTGAGGCCTGAATTTCAGAACCAGTTGAAAGTGCACTTTCTGAAAGAAACAGCCTCTTTTTCAGTTGTCATCAAATAAAGGTCTAAAACCTGACTGGAGTCTCTGCCCTTAAATTTTGCTTAAAGATGTAAAAATATGGTTTGTGAACTTGCAGCAATGCCTTTGAAACCAAACGTTATTCTGAAATACGTGTATGAGGACAAAATAAAATGTTTCATTGTTTAAGGGACAGACACCCCTGGTTCCTCCCTCAAATTACGACGTTGCCTTGAAACCAAGGAAAGAATTGTATTGATTTTTCCAGTTCTGATGACACTTGGTATGTCCTTTGACATTCAGGATCATCTCTAAGGAGATATTTTCTTTACAACTGTCAAACCAAATCAGGCAAATCCAAGTTCACAATTAAGCAACTTCTGCTGCCAGACAACCCTTTGGAGTATAAAGCTACTGAGCACTAGGTTCCTGTATGCCAGTTGACTTATCTGCTTAAGAAGCATGGAATTTTATGTGTGGGTTTAAAGTGATAAGATTTATCTGGTGAAGATTATGTATGCACATTGCACAGCTACTGGCTTGCTTCACATTAACGAGGAGTAGGTTTAAGATGAATCAAAATCAGTCTTTAAAGTGAAGACAGTCTATTTAAATTACAGTTAAAATTATTGCTGGAACTTTTGCATGAAGACAAATAGTTTCACTAAGATGAAAGTAAGTTAAAAATGAGGACTGAAGTTTAGGCTCCATGATCAGACTTTCAAATTAAGATACCAGCTTTTCCTTGATTTTAGTGGGAGTTAGGAATATGGTTGGGTTGAAAACCATACCACTGAACAGGTAGGGACTGAAATCTTCTGGATTTCCCATGAGTCTGTGTCAGTCTGACTCCTGTGAACTTATGTGGCTTTGGAAATTGAGACGTGGCCCATTCAGCTGTTAAATTTTACCTGTTAGCTGTAAAATTTACCCTGTTACTTGTCCGAGATAAATTAATCTGTCAGCAATGTGACATTTCTTCATAAAATAGGTGGAATTCTGTGTACGTGGAATTCGTCTTCTTGAAACCTGCCCTTAATTCAAAATGAGTAGGGACTTGTTTGATTTCTTTCCTGTGTTGGGACTGGCTTTTCTAGGTCTGGCTTCTGTGATGTGAGCCTATACTGTTTTGTGGAGTATCTTTAGAACATCTTCAATGCTGTGCTTCTTGCCCCACTGCTTCCCTTGGGCATATGCAGCACAGAAACAGAGCTGCTCCTTCTTTTGCCTCGAAGATGTTTAGCAGAGATGATCTTTCAGATTGCAAAATATGTGACCTTTGCACAATGCCATGGCTCATTTTTGTGGCCTGTAGAAAATTGCCCTGCTGATGCTGTTGTAACAGAGAATTTTCTCTCAAAGTATCTTTTCTAAAGGGTCCTATTAACTGAGAGATTAAACCAAACAGAAGAAATCTGGCAGGGAAAGTAAATTCCAAAGTTTCAGCCTTTCCATACCTGTATCAATTTTAATGTGGCATTCTGGCCAGGAGACAAGTCTTCAGTAATTCCCATAAGGACCTGCAGACAGATAATCATAATTCTTACTGTTTTCATTAATACATAACCAATACATTTTCCTTCCCTGCCAAGGGTCCCAGATAACCATGGTGCCTACATACTCCTTGATGGGACCTTTCAGAGGACACATGAGTCTCAAAAGTAGCCGTAAGTATTCACATTATTACTTGAAAAGTGACTAAGTGTTCCAATTTTGGAATAACAGCTTAAATATTATAACACTACTAAAAATACATATTTTATTATTGAAACAATGTAAAGTAGGTAAGTCCTTCTATATCTCACTATCCTAATTTAGACAAACAGAATTCCTGTTCAGGATCTTTACCAAGGACCTGTGGAAGTACTGCTGAAAAGATGTTCTGCCTTAAACTTCCCTTCTCAGAAATGCTGTTCAACTGTACCTTCTCCAAGCCCATATTCCCACTTGTAGGAATTAGCAGTTAGCATTGGTATAAACTCTTTTCAGTATAGCAGCTCTGCAGCTATATTAGACTTTAAAGAGTAAAATAATTGACATGTTACAGAGAACAGACTTTTACCCCAGTAAGAGGCAAAAAGCAATGGCTTTGAATCAGCAGTCTGGTGAGAAGCAAAGTCACCTCCTGTGTTTTTCAAAAGCATATTTTTGGTTTTCAGCTACATGGAAAAGACATGTTTTATCACTGTCATTGTGTATCAGTCAAGCTTTAATACTGCTCTGACTGGATTAATGTATGACATTATACCTCTAGACATGATATATTCTCCAGACATGATGTGTAGAGGTAATCTCTTGCAATTCAATCAGTGGAAACTAGGCAAATTAGTCATCACACAAGTACACATTCAGGACTATAATAAATTGCTAGGAAAGTAATTATAAAGTTGGAAATAAAAAAGAGTCACTGTGAAAGGGTTGTCAGTGTTCTTTATTATTTATTCTTGGGTCCTGGTTTCCTGGAGATCTTTCCTCATGTGTAGAAAGAAGATGTAAATGTATTGGAAGTACAATAGTCCTCAGAGTTTGGAAAGATTTTCAAAAGTGAGCAATTTTCTGTAGATAGATCTGCACTCATATATAGAAAATGTTGAAACTCTGGAACGTTGAAAACTTGGATCAAGCAATTTGCTGAATGTTGCAGCAAATGAGATCTGTGTAAGGCAGCAGAAAATACAGAACTTGGATTCTGTTCAAAAATGGGCTTAAGAACATTGCCTGTCTTTGCAGCACACAAAAGGGCTGTTTCAATTTGACTTGACGTGTGTTTGCACCATCAACAGAGCCTCTTAACAGGACTACTTAAAATTCCCAGTAGATTTCTATTTCCCATTTCCTTCAATTTGAAGTTGCTCAAAGAAAACATAAGAAAAATTGTTTGAAAGTGTAAACTTTTAGTGAGCTCAGATAAGATGGCCCTCTGTAATGGTGGGAAATACTTAGTTGGACACCCCCTAAGTCTCCCCATTTCATTGTTTTTGCCCTTAAAGCCTTCTCTTTGAGAAAGGGATGTGCTTTTTCATGTCCTCTGTTCAGAGAGATTGAGACACGAAAACACAGAATAACTTGCCAAAGTTCAACAGAAAGTCTCTGGCTAAGAAAGGAATTCGCTTTTTTTCCTTTCCTTACATAGGAATAACCACAATGTTGCTTATTGCACAATGTCAGTAATTTTCTGGACACAGCATAGAGTTAGATTTTATGAAAGACAAAAATTAGATTAAACTACTAGTGCTGTGTATATCTTTAGCATTTCAAATTTGGGGCAGTTATTCATTTTGAGAAGAGTATTCTTTTTATAAATGCATTTTTCCTCCTTTTTTAATATTTGAATATTTTTTAGATTATCACTTCATTCTTCTGGCATGCTTTTTCACTGCATATATTGAAATCAGCTTGTCACTGCCAATTGGGAAAGGATTTGGGTAATTTATCAAAGTACTTTTTTCTTTCCTTTATTGCCAAGAGCCTATAGCTGCTGTGATTTAGGGCCTTGCCATTCCTTGAACTCAGGAGAGCCACCCCACTTTAAACCAGCAAGGGATGGTGCTGGATGTTACTGAAGAGCTTGTTCAAGTTGTTTTTGCCATTAGGAGGTTACAGCACAACTGGCAAAATTAATGAAAAAAAAATTATTTTTAGAAGTTTTGGAGAGAACAACTACAGGTCTCAAGCACATAAGAGCCTCGAAATAGAATAGTACCGAGTTTAACTATTTTATTTCTTTATTATGGTATTGACGCCCATAAGGGCTTTCCCTGAGTACAACTGGACATGTAAAGGCTCATGAAAGTCTGTCAGCTTTGTATTTGTCTGCTTCAGGTACCAGATTGTGGTGCCTGTACTATTCGTGCTAAGTTTAATTGAGACAAGAGGTAAATGCAGTTTGCTCAGATTACTGCATGAAGTTCTCCATTCTTCATAGCAAACATGGAGTCACCATTTCTGATTTGCTGATGTCTCTGCACCTGGTTGTGTGCTGGTGGAAGCACTCTGGCTGTGTGTTCCATGCACAATCAGAATGTGTGGCCCTGGAGCTGAACAGCATCTTTCTTCAGCTGATCATGTTGGCATGTGCTGCTGCTCCTGGACCAGCTGTTGACATCGAGTCAATGCCCTTCTGGCACACTTAGAGTCACTTGCAGGAATACATCAGGGAATAATACTAAGTGAAGTAACAAATCCAGCATCAGGTGTTCTGTCGGGCTTTTTTTTATGGTGCTTGTTCAAAAGATGACAGCATAAATTGAATGTATTCAAGCTCCTTGGCAGTTAAGAGCAGTTTGTATCACTGGCTCACTTTGGTAGGCAAGAGATAAGAAAAAGCAACACAATAAGGATGCAGCCAAACTGAGATTAGAAGGCTTGATTCCCAGACTCTCAACTCGAGGTCTCCTATTCTTTCAAAACACAATAAAAGCTATGAAACAAAGTTATTAGCTTAAATTGTACACTGGGGACATGAACAATAAAAGAATCATTTATTTTGTTGGCTCAGAAAACCAAATCTGGATAGGGTTGGACGGGCTGATTATCTCAGGGTAAGGGTCATTCTGGGTCTGTGAATGGAAAGTCAGGTACATTGGATTTCTGATCTCCAGTATTCTGTTGTTTTTTTAATACTATGTGCTAGTAACTTTCCATCTACAAATCCTATCTGTTAGGAAATTAGAGGGTTTTGAGAAAGAAATTAGAGGGTTTTGAGAAAGAAACAATATTCTTGTTTGGAAGCAGATTAAAAGAAAATTATCTTAGCCACACTGATAGGTTAAAAATTACAAGTAAATGCTTATCTGCTTAACTTCTTTTTCTGTGTTAATGAACTTAGGTCAGATTCAGAGACAAATTTTTATGAATCTCGGAAGTCGGGCAAATTAGAGAATCAGAGGGGTGTCGTGGTCAGTGTAACACAATTCAGTTCTATGATCTGGTTCCTCTTCTGGCCCTACTTTTGGCTATGTATCCAGTTCACTTACCTAATTCAAGTGCTCGAGTTACATCTGGTATCACCAAGAGGTGAGATATTAACATGTATTTTTCAGTACTTTGTAATATTATCTAATAAAACTATTAGCATTAATAATAGTATTAACACTCTCTATTGTTATTTAATACTCTCTCGTATTAAAACTTTCAGAAGGCAAATGCTTTATATTATATCAGATATTAAACAGTGAGATCCTCTCTTATTCTCCAGAGTTCAACAATATCAAAGGTTCATACATTACTTATTGCAAGCTATAATTCTCAAGTACTCAAAAAAGTGAAAACTGGGAATAATCTGCCACTTGTTCATGTTACATTCTGTGCTATTCTTACTTTTTTAAATAAAAGAACGAATACTGGCTTGATGTTATTGCCAGCAGGAGACACTAAATATTACAGTATTTTCAGAACTACTATTACCTGAAACATTGCTTGACCCACTAAATAAACTCAGTTTTTTCCCTCTCACAGCTTTTTCTCCTGGACCTTCCTGCAAACTCTCCAATCAGTACATCATTCAAGACCACATGGCTGCTCATTTCAAGAAATTGATGTCTGCTGAAGGTGTGTACAGTCTTATGACAATATCTATGTAGGTAAAAGGTGAAATCAGAGTCAAGGATATGTTGGTTGTCCTATTTTTGGCTGGTTGCTGAATTTCTTCCCCTTTCTTTCCTCCCTCTCTCTGTCACTAACTCAACAGGAGTAGGAGGCATAAAATGATGTGCCCTAAGAGATATGTAGAACACTCAATTGCAACTGTAACCTTGTCTTGGGAGAAGCTTGGGAGAATTCTGACTGTTGAAAGCTGTAAAGTCTATGGAGAGAAACTGTTCCACGAAATGACAAGTTCATGTTGGGAAGAGGAATATTATCTAAGTCCCCTGTGTTACTTTACTCATAGTTTCTGTTTAGACGTGTATGGCAGTAGACTAACAAGAAAGGTAAAATGAGAACTAGGGCATGTATTTGTTTAATTGGGAGAAACCTGAAGAGTAACAGTGGGGTGGCAGCTTTTGATGTTTAGAAAGTTACAGTATCAGTCCTAAGTAACCTGGAGGGAAGTTCCACTAACCACAAGTGGTTACGCTCCTGAGGGCTCTTCAAGTGCTCTCCCTCCTGCAAATAGCCACAAACGGCTAGAAAGAAAATTCAGAATTTAAAAAAAAAAATGTCCTCTGTCAATTGTTTGGAGCTGTGTAAATTTCCAGGTGCTTCAGGTTCAGATGAATCAGGTGGAGTTGAATGGCCATAGCTGTAATTAGGTTCCTACAAGACTTCCAGCCCTTGGGCTCCAAAGGCTTTCTGACCAAAAAATTCACTGATCACATGCAGTGAGCTTTATAATAACACAGAACTGTTGAACAATAAATGAGATTGCTGCTGTGGTTTTTGGTTTTTTTGCCAGGAGACCAATCCTTTTGTCAATTTGCAGTGCCAAATGCTTTATCTTATACTACCTTGCTTGAATACAGTGCATCTTTTCATTGTGGTGTGAGAATCACTCTTTGAAAGCTACATGACCTCCACCATGCTACAGTTCACAACCATCCCACTCATATTAGGAGCTGGAAGCTGGATTGCTGCTGTGTACTTTTGTACTCAAGTGACTTTTGCTTTTTCACGGCTAATGTCACGGAAACAGTGAACTCTAGGAACTGTAGAATTCACATCCTGGAGTTTTACTTATAAATATACAGAAGCATCAGGACTAATTAAGAGCAGCAAACACTGCCATATATAATTGAAATTTTATTCTCAACTGGTGAAGTCTAAATGAGGGAGTGAAGGTCAAAAAATAAAAGGGAAGTAACAGAGGTGTTTTGCAGTCTTTTTGTCAATTACATTCTTACAGCTCAGAAGACACTACACAAAAGGTATTCTTAGTATAAAATGAGCCAAGTGCTTTGTTCCCAAGCAGGTTTCAATTCTTTTTCAAATGTCAGTCCTGCTCCTCTGCAGCAGAACTCAGTCAATCTGGAAAGAGCATCTCACAGTAGGTGCTAACCGAAATTTCCAGTGGCTAAAATTTCTAATTCTTAGGTGTTTCACGATCTGAATTTACAATTCTCAAAGGTGAGATTTGGAACCTTTAATCTTAAAACACTTGCTTTACTTATCATAATGCTTCATCATTCACACAGATTTTCCTTGTAGAGCTAACTTTTGCATACATATCAAAACCTGCAATATTGCAAGGATATCAAGGTTCTCTTCTGTACATACCTGCTGCTGTGAAATGCTGATTTGCCACCTGTTCTGTACAGCTTTACAAGAGATTACAGAATTTTATGCCTCTGAAAACTCTGGTCAGGGTATAAAGGCCTTCTCCAGTATACTTCCAAATATTTTCTAATCTTTTTGAAATGAATCTGTTTTTTAAACTACAACCTGTTTGGCCTCACTCCAGACAAGTGGCCAGCCTCACATGTCCAAAACTTTGGAACACTGGTACAAACTACAATTTGCTTTGATATTTGGCAGTAATCACAGAAGTAAAAGATGGAAATGAAGTCAGTGTCCTTCAAATGCAACTGGAATATTGAGCTTCTAGGTGATTGCTTTTCCCTCCGCAGTCAAAAATACTATTTCCTCATGTACCTCAGTTATATCCAGGGATATGCAATCTGGCACAGAGTTCCATTACCATCCTTAACATCTCCTGTGTGGACACAGGACTTAATGAAGGCTGAGGAATGCTTGATTCCTCGAAGCTTACTCCATTTAATCTTTTACAATGAAAGCCAAATGACCAAATAACAGAAAATGTGGTGTGCAAAACTGTCTGTAATTGCTTAATTAAATGGCTCCTTTTGCTAGGAAGATGATGAGAAACTGATGACCTTGAGCCTCGGGACATCTTGAATCACATCTTGGAGAATTAGTTGGAAATTTCCCCTCTCTGATAGCAGCTGCATACTCATCCATGAAATATAAACTTTCTGGGTAGTAGTAAATGCCAATACAAAATTAATACAGCTTTTCTTATATTATAAATTAAAATGAAGTCTAATAAATGTAGCCATACTGGCTCTAATTTCTATACCCAAGTAGACATGAGTGAAAGCCACAAAAGTCAGATCCAGATTTGATACTGAATCAATAATAGGATTATTGAGGCACTTATGGTTTTATGCAGATAGAGACAAGGGGTCAAATCCTCAAGTAGTATCATTGCAGTTGTGGCTGGTCTAACTCAACTAATTTCACAGCATTTAACCTATGCCAGATTTTGAGAACTGATCAAGGACGAAGATAATAGAAGGAAATTGTGTTCATCAGTAGAGAAAAATTAAGATTTGGTGGTCAGTAGATCTGCATTATTAATAATGCTAATATTATGCAGTCTAGTACTATATTCCTATAGGGAATTCAACACCTTGGGATTATCAATTTCATCTCTACCCATTTTGCTATGATTATTTGTGATGTTAGTGTTTCATTGGACTGAACCTACTTTTTATTAATACAGCTGCTGTTGATTCATCTGCCCCAAAGAGTTTGCATACCAGTGTTAAATGTGAGTAGTTTTATTTCGGTTTGTTTTGAAAATAGGTCTCCCTCCATTTGTTTGGTTTGGAAACACTTGTCTTCTTTTATGATAAAGGTGTTCTGAAAAGGCATATACATGCCGAAAATATGCATTGTCAGGGTTAAGATAATAGTATCTGGCATCTAATTTAATGTCTAACTTAATTGTATCCAACACTTGGTTCCTGTTTGCACAGATACAAGCTAACCTGCAGAGTGTGGGATTTGCTGAAACACCTACTGCAAGCAAGGCTGTTGGAATCATAAATTGCCTTAGTTTTCCAGTCTAAATTCAGACCACCAGCCCTTTGAATTCCTTGCCATTTCACGCTGTATTTTTTATTCCCCTGATTGCTCCGTGTGTCTCTGGACATCGGGCACAGGCTGGCTGAAACAGGTTTTGAGTAATAAATTGGGGTTTGGTAAGAGAACGTTGCACTGCACCTTAACGCCACCTCTTGGCTGAAGCCTGCAGGACCCAATGTCAAGGCAGAGTCTCTCCAGCCCTTCCCTTTTTGATAGGAAGGAAGATTGATGAAAAGGAACCCGTTCATACCTTTCTGTGGAAACACAGCCTTCATTTTTGAATATGTTTGGTTTCCCTCATTCACCAGGTTGGGAGGCATATTCTTCTTATCTCTCTGGTAGTTACATACAGGGCAGCACACAGCTTCCTACACAGACACCTCCTGTTTTAAAATGGAATTCAAAAAGCTGGGAAAATGGAAGCTCCTGTTTTTCCACAGTGCATGCATAGTGAGAACCATGTATCTGAGACCTGTGGAGGGCTGTTGCTCTGAGCAGGGCATAATGCACACGGAAGCAAAGATATTTCAGAGACAATGGTGAGATGCAGTTGTTCAGCAAGATACACACAAGTCAAGAAGGCAAACATAACCCTTGCCCACAAAGACAAAAAATGTATCATATGAGATCCTCATTAGACAGGAACAAGACAACAAGTTCAAGATCATAGCACATTACAATCAAAACTTCCTTGACTTTGTTTTTCAACTCCTCCTGCTCAACAGTGTTTTCTTTTTTTTTCAGAGTTGTCTTTTATATAATAATTTTAAGATTAGTATTTTGTATTTATCACTTTAATAGTGATTAAACGGTGCTCTAATGATAGAGAGAAATGCCATGGAAAGTTTTATGAGAACATTAGTTTGACAGAGAGGTGATCCTGATATAGAAATGCATGAGGAGTAGAATCTCACCTCCTTGAGAACATCAAGAGGACAGAGAGTTTGTTCAGCTGGGTTTGCGACAATAACAAATGTTCCTAGAGGATGTATCAGAGGGAAACATTTTCTGTGTTTCTTAAAATGCTTTCTTAGGAAGATACTCATCTTACAGAGCTAAGCAGAAATTAACTGCTTTGTGCAGTTTCTGTTAATTTAGAAGCCCACACTGAGTACAAGGTGCCTGATGGTCATAGAAGCCATAATGTGATATTCCCAGTCAGAGGAAGTAAGGACCCAATACAATTTTTGTCAGCAGCCCACTGGGGAAAAGCAAATCACCTTTGTCATTTAATATTTATCTTCACTAAAAGATGCTATATATGAGCTAAGTCCTTTTTCTGACAAGTTAGCTCCAGAAATGTCTGCCTTAGCAAAAGAAATTTTATCCCTCAAAGAATAAATCACAGAATTTAGAAGTCACCTTGAAAATGTGCATCAAAACTGCTGTGTTCTGAAGTGTTAAGTAGGGCAGTAGCACAATGGAGGTACAGTTGCTGTTGTTGGAGTTGATGTGCAAATCATCAGGGCATATAAAATGACTTTGTGCCTACAAAAATAGATTTCTGTTTATTATTTGCATAATCAAATATCATTTGCATAAACAAAATAAATTAAGTCTGTTTTGCCAGCCTACTAGAATAATGGAAGGACAAAACTAATTTTCTGCTTAGTGCAAGATTACAGCATTTTTTTCTTTTCATGCAGTTTTCTCCCACAACCATCTCCCACTATTACTTTTGCTAGTTACTAAATGTGGAATGCTTTTAAAGTCTTGACATTTATTAGAACTTTGACAGGTACACATTCTGAAGCCATATATTTTCTTATCTGTTCTCAATCCATACACTCAGTTAGGTATAACCCTGTTTTCCAAATGTGTGAACTGTGTTGGATTTTTCCAAATGTGTGATCTGTGTTGGATACCACACGTTTCAGTGGTAGGCTGAAAAGAAAATTCAGGTCACTTGGTAGTGATGGAGACATACAAAAACCTGTAAAATTAAAGAGAAAGACTCAAACAGCTACAAAGATTAGTTCTGAGAAGCCAGAAGAAAATGCAGAGAGCAATGCTTTTTTTCATTTTAAGAATAAATGTATAGCAGATAAAACACTGTAAAGAATTTGGTAATATTTCCTACAAATAAACTGCACCATTTCACAGGGCATCTGTAGTGTTGCACTGCAGATTCAGAACTGTACAGAAAAAAGTGTGAGATGTGCAGTGTACAGGACTTGCTCCTGAATTTTTTCAGGTATATTTTGGATTTTCTGATCTAAGCTTTAGAAGGACGCTGTTTAAATTTATTGCTCCATTAGGCTTTCTGCACTTCTAGATTTCATGAAGTTATTAATGTTGCAGTGGGTAAGATGCCATTGAATTAGCTGATTTTTTTCACATAAAATTTTTTTTCTAACAACCTTTCAGTATTGTTTGTAATGAATAGCAGGTGCCAACTTTCATCACTTTGGGAGAATAGGATAGGATAGGATAGGATAGGATAGGATAGGATAGGATAGGATAGGATAGGATAGGATAGGATAGGATAGGATAGGATAGGATAGGAT